ATCACACAGGCTGGTGTGCTTCTTCCATGTGGGCTTGATTGTTTCTGAGCTAGATGGCTGCTTGTTTACCTTCAAGTCTTTAAGAACCCAGGTGCTATATCTTTTGATAGCTGAGCAACATCAGCTTTCTTCACCACAGTTGCTTATGCACCTGCTTTGTCTACAGTGATCCTGCTGGGAAGGTGAGCATCATGGAATGCCAGTTTAATACAACAAAGTGTTCTTGCATTGAGGGAGTACTTGAGTGGAGACCCAATCGGACTCTTAATTCTTGAGAGCTCTTCAGGCTGCTAATTCTCCATCTCCCAGTAACCTTCACCTAGGATTCAAGATCCTAATCCTATGGTTTGGCCACTCTTCTATCTCTGACAAGCCCACGTCTATATCTGTAAAAGCCCCAAATCTGTAGAGATGGCATCTGGGTCATGGCAATGTGCAAAAGAAATCTCATCCGTGTCTGTCAGCCTCTACGGGGCTGAATCTAGGGATTTCAACTGCACCATGGGCAAATCTGTTTAAGAAATCTCATCTATGTTTGTCACTTAAGTACTGAAATACATTTGTAGTTGTAGTTTCTTGATGGGATAATCTACTGCTATGGTAGCAGAACCTTTCATTTGTGGGGTGCCATCTGGAGGGCTGTGGTTTCATTAACGGCTACACCATGTGAGAGAGATCTTCTGACTGTGTGCTAGTGTAACATTAGCCATCCGTTTGGGGACGGGTTTCTTTCGTCTGACCAGCTCTCCCTGCTCCAGCCACCTGTGGGCTAACTATTTTAGAAAGATGGCTCTCCTGCTGTTGGGAGTTTAGTTACTGGGAAATTTGCTGGTTTCTCACAGAAGGGTCCTTTGTTTAAAGCACCAACGGTGCCTCAAGCTTCACTCTTAGAAGCGAACTGGCACGTTACCCCTTAAAGACTGTGCAGTCTCACGGTCTCACCTTCTTCCATTGGAGAGAGACAAAAGGGAGGAAAGAAAAGATCAGCCAGTTTGTGTGAATTTCACAACATCATCAACCATGGGAATCCATTTCTGCTCTAAACTAGAGGTCACCCTGCAGGTTGAAATCAACTTAACCCTGTTTAGTTTAATTCAAAATGTAGAAAATTTTAAAAAATCTAAGGAAACTGAATTTGGGAGGAAAGAAAAAAAGTTAAAATTGATTGAGTTACATTTCAGTAATGTCTGGTAGCACATAAATAATTTAAACTTTTAAGTGATTTGCTAATATTGCAATTAAGATGTTAAATATTTGCTGTAATTAAGAGTATATAGTTAATAAATATATACATATATATGGTAAATAGTGTTCATTTTTCCTAACTATAAAAAGTTATTATAAGGAGTATACAGGAACAATGACTGAATAACTTGTTTTTAAATATAACTAAAACTTTACCTTTCTGACTAAAATTTTAATTAACAATAGTAACAAAGAATCAATTTGGGGGTCAAAAGAAAAATTTTTTATTACTAGTTTAGAAATCTAACTCATTCTTTGAATGATCTGGCTTCCAGGTGGAGAGTGGATTAGATTTATGAAACCACATTGTCTCAGGTACAAATGATGCTCCAATATTTCTATAGTTCAGCCTGGAGGACCATTTGAACTACTCCACCCATTGGGGTCACTAAGATGTTCAAACATCATAAATGTTTGGCATAATGCTTTGACTGGTTGTTAAAATAAATGCATCTTGTGAGTGTCTTATAAGGTATGGTTTTACTGTTCTACTTGCTGGCTTGTTTTGCCTGTAAGTTTTATTGGAATTTGTCTTTTGACTCGGCGCCTTCCCGGGTTATTTTGTCATCATATTCAACTAGTAAAGTGGAAAAGTTCAGGCGATAAATCCACAGAGGGAACATAATTAAACCTGGACTGAGGGGCTAGAGCGAGGGTGGAACGACCGATGATGAGTTTTTATATTTTGATTTTGGGG